CGCACTCCAGGTGCTGGACACCCCCTTACTGGGTTTTCACAAACATGTATCCAGTATAGTAGTTTGTAGAAATGTGCAAACAAGGTCTCTGGCCTTGAGCTGGGCTTCACAGAGATGTCTACATTTTTAAGATAAGTTACCAACTGGGCTCCATGGTAACAGCTGGCAGGGGGAGGACAGAAAGGGGAGAAGAAGCTCTCCCCTTCTCAGGTGTTGTCCTTGAAGGGATAACTTGCCCAGAACAGTGAAAGAAAAAGCTGCTTTATGTGAACTTCTGCAGACTGTGAACTTCTGGGACCCTCCCCTTACATGCTGGGTATAAAACTCTGAAACTCCCTGAACTCGGGGTTCAGGGGATTGATTGATTACAGCAAAAGCTGTGCCCTCTGAACCTGGCTGCAGCCAAATAAAACTGTTTCCTGCTATCTTCCGTGCCTTGCCTCGTCTGTCCCTACAACAGTATTAATGCCAAAACTAAGCAGTGTGACTTCTCAGCCCACACTCTTAACCTCTTTATACTCTAGCGCCTCTCTGCAAAAGAAAGTTCTTCCTTAAATCTGACTTTCATTTCTGTAAATGTAATTTTTATTTCAGATGTTTCAGTTTCATTTCACAATGCAGGTCCTCAAAAGAGAGTGGAACACCAGTGAGACCAGAAAAATCTTGCTCCAAGATATTGAAGTGTGCAGAGAAAGGAAACAAGGAAAGCAATTTTATTGAACAGCTACTTTGTGCTGCTTACCAAGCTAGGCATTGAGCTTCTGAAAGGTCATTTAATCCTCACAAAACCCCTTGGGGGGGTAGTCTTATCCCTGTGACAGAAAAGGAAACAGATGCTTGGAGAGGTGAAAACACTTCTCCAAGATTGGCAGCCCCACAGATAACCATTAGGTCTCCTCTTGTACCCCCCACGGTGCTGAGCTGGGGAAGCAGAGATGAGAAGGCCATTTCTTTATATATATATATATGTATATAATTTTTCTAGCTGTAGTTGGACACAATACCTTCATTTTATTTATTTATTTATTTTTATGTGGTGCCGAGGATCGAACCCAGGGCCTCGCACAAGCTAGGCAAGTGCTCTACCGCTGAGCCACAACCCCAGCCCGAGAAGGCCATTTCTGCCCACGGAGTTCAAGCCTCATGCAGTGGGCACAAAGCTAACCATCCACTGCAGTGTTACAGGATGGGTGAGGAGGGAGGACCTGACACAGAAGCCCAAGCTGGTCAGGCACCGGGCCCAGCCGGCAGAGGTGATGGTCAGCAAGGGCAAAGGCACCGGGCAGGCAAGGAAACGCGGAGATTCAGCAAGAATCTTGAGGTGGTGCCTCTGGGGAAGCGGAGGCCCGTGAGGCAGGAGGGGGACTGGGAGGCCTCGCATGTGCTGTTAGGAGTCAGGATGAGACGAAGGATTCTGCAGAGAGGCAAGGGGAGGAGAGGAGCCGCAGAAGTGCTGGCGAGAGGGAGGCAAGAGGCGGAGCTGCCCTCGCTCACAAGGGCCCCTCTCAACAAGCACTGCTTCCCAGCCATGAGCCAGGACCCGCCCCAGGGGCACCTGATGGGAGGGGGTACGTGGAAGAGGGGGTGGAAGGGTGACCGATTCGGTCCCGGGTGGGTGACCTGGGGGAGGAGGGGATGGTGGCTCAGTCACCAAGATGGGGCATGCAGGAACTGGGGACAGGTTTGATGAAGCGAGGGAAGATCCACCCATTCAATCACTCATCCAGCAAACGCGTACTGAGGTCTCACTGTGAGATGGGCAGAGTCACCGAAGCCAGAGGTAAAGTTTTAATAGCACAAATAACCACCACCCTCAAGGAACCCCTACCCTTCTAGGCAGGGTCGGGACAGCTAATACCAGATGGTCAAAAGGGAGATAGAGGAAAAGAGAGATGGGGAATGGGGGAGAGGCTGCAGTTTTCTTAAAGGAATCTCAGAGAAGACTTTAGGAGAAGGTGACATGTGAGTCAAGACTTGAATAAGGGGAGGGAGTGACCCCATGCAGCTATCAAGAGGAAAGAATCCATGGGGTCAAAGAAATAGCAAGTGCAAAGGCCCTGGGGCAAGAGGTAGCCTGACATGTTCAAGAAACATGTTCAAGAAACATGTCAGGGGAAACAGTGGCTGGGACAAATCAGCAAGAGGGACAGTAATAGGGGAGGGGCCAGGCAGGAAGCAGGGGTGCCTAACAGATCTTGAAAGGGCTTTGACTTTGATAGACACTGAGTGAAGTGGGAGCCACCAGAGGGCTGGAGTGACAAGACTTGACTATTTGATCGCCATCACTCTGGCTGCTGGAGAAGAGCAGACAGGTGCAGGAGGAGGGACAAATGGACACAGGAGACCAGGGAGGGGGCCGCTGCCACCCTCTGGGCGACAGGGAAGGGTGGCGTGGGCCTTTCCGACACTGGCATAAGCGGTGAGTTTGTTTTCCAACATGTTGTCAGGAGGATATTCAACACAGAGCAGAGCCACATTTCAGCAGGAGCGCCCATATGCCCAGGGTTCTGGCTATTTTCTGAAAGAAGAGTCATGGGATCTGGGGCACGCGGAGCCTGCGGAATGTGCCAGGGAGACGGCGGCAGGCAGCCGGAACCAGACTGACGCCTAGGACTGCCCCCTCACACCAGCCCCAGAAGCCCACGTCCCCTAAAGGATGGCGTCACCGACAGACACACTGCCACCCTGCTGGTACCTGACCATTAGTGGGCGGTGAATCTGAGAGACGCTGAGCAGTCTGAACCCCCCACAAAAAGGCATCTGTCAACCACTGCAGATGAAAACCATAAAAAGTAGTTTATTTCCCTCAACTGGAAACATTCAGTGTCACACTGTGAGTAAACATCAGTCGTTTTTTAAAATATCTTCTTGGCTGTTGATGGACCTTTACTTATTTATATGCGGTGCTGAGAATTGAACCCAGGGCCTCACACATCCTAGGCAAGCTCTCTACCTCTGAGCCCCAGCCCCAGTCCCAACATTAGTCATTTTTAATGAGCATATGAAGACCCCAGGACGTACCCCACCAGGACGTACCTGTCTTGTCCCTGGAGCCCCCAGTTCTCCATGGGCAATGGCGGAGAAGATGGAGTGAAGGGGGGCTGTGTCTTGCTATAAACCCTTCAACCTGGAGGGCGCCCTCCTGTCGGCCACAAGGATCAGGGTCCTAAGACGTGTGTGGAAAGAGCTGGGGACCGAGGGAGCCTCAGAGCCAGGTGTGTTTCCCAGGGACACTCTCCTAGTGTTATGGTTTGGACGTGAGGTGTCCCCCAAAAGCTCACATGGGGTCAATGCAAAAGGTAGCGAGGGGAACGACCGGGTTATGGGATCCTTGACCTGATCGGTGGGTCGCGCCCCTGGCGGGCTGCGCTGAGTGGGGGCTGGAGGCAGGTGGGGCTGGCTGGAGGGGGCATGGGTGCTTCGCCTCTGGGGGTGTGTTTTGTATCTGGTGACTGGGTCCCTCTGCTTCCTGATCGTCCTGTGAGCCGCTTTCTTCCACCTCACCCCGAGCCCTGAGGGATGGAGCCAGCGGCCTATGGACTGAGATTTCTCAAACTCCGAGTCCCAAAATAAACTTTTCCTCCCCTAAAATTGTTCTTGTCAGGTCTTTTAGTCACAGCAGCAAAATAAGCTGACTCGAAAACCCACGGTGGGGGCACCCGGCTGCAACCTGGTCCTGCCTGGCCTCCAGGCTCCGAGCCCAGGAAATCCGGAGGTAGGAGACGGGGACACGCTTGCCACACACCCCAGCCCTTAAGACCCCGGAGGCAGGAAGGCCGTCTGGCCTCACCAGTTGCCCTCACAGGCACCTTCCTGGGAGGAAGGGGCTGCCTGTGCCCGCAAAGGCACAGGGGAGGGAAGAGGGAGGACGGGAAGGTGTCGCAATCCCCAGGCCCCCGGCCTGTCATTAATGACAGGGCTGGGGAAAGAAGCCCGACTGTGGCCCATTTCAGGAACTTGCCTTGAAGAGTGGAGAGCAGGAGGCCAGGCACGCCTGCCACGGGCTCCAGCGTGAGTAGGGGACACCCAGGGAGGGCTGAGTCCTGATCCACTCCCCCAGCTCCGCCAGGTGCCCGTGGCCGTGGGCCTGGGCCAGGCTCCTGTCTTTGAGATGGGTCCCTGGGAACCAGGTGTCTCTCTGGGATTGCATCAGGGAAGTTGCACATACCAACTTCTCTGTGGGGACACGGAGCTGGGCTCACATCAGGGATGGCCGTAACCGTCAGCCTCTCCTGTCTCTGTCTCTCCAAGGCCGGCGTGGCTGCCTGTGCCAGGCGGCCAGCTCCCGTCTGGGTCTGCTTCACTCTCAGTTCCCATCTCTTCCCCTCAGCCGCTCCCTCTCCTCCCTCTCCGAGTCCGTCCGTCTGTCTGTCTCTCGCGCTTCTGTCTCTTAACCTTAAATTTGAGATGTCAGGTTATTTTCTTGGCCTCTGAGATGTCTCTGGGTCTCTTGGACTCTTTTTCTGTCTTTTGGAGACTCTATTTTGGAGTCTCTTCATTTCTTCTTCTTTTTTCTATTTTCTTTTTAACTGAAGGTTGAACTCAGGGGTGCTCTACTATTGATTTATATCTCCAGTGCTTGCTTTTTTTTTTTTAGCCAGGTTCTCACTAAATTGCTTAGAATGGCCTTGAACTTAGGATCCTCCTGCCTCGGCCTCCTGAGTCGCTGGGATTACAGGCACCTACCTCCTACTACCCGACCTGGCCTCTCCAGCCTCATTCTTTATCTCTGTAGGTCTCTACCATCTCCAACCCTGCCTACCTCCGTCCTTCTGTCCTGCTTTGTTTCTTTTCCGTTTTCTGTTTCTTTGTCTCTTTTCCTTTCTGCCCCTCCCTCTCTGTCTCTGAACCACATTTGGGAAGCCCTCTCCTTTGACTCACTCCCAGCCCCATCCTCCCTCCCTCCCTCCCTCTTCCCACAGAAAGAATTTCAAAAGAGCAGGAATGGAGAAGGGAGCAGAGGAGGGAAGCAGAGTGTGCTGGGAGGAAGGGAGAGGGGAGAGAAAGAGGGCGTGGCAGCAGCCACTGCAGGTGACAGGCATCCTGAGTGCTGGGGACCGAGGGTCCAGGGAGCTGCAGAGCCCAGCAGAGGTGGCTGGAGTGGCAGGCACAGAGGGACAAGAAACTACAAGGGGAAGCCCAGAAAGGGGCTTTGAAACTGCAGTGTGACCCGGACAAAAACAAGGTGGCAGTCCTAGGTGGCTGTGACCACTCAGCCAGGGAGTAAGTAGGGGACTAAGCCATGCTGGGCTCCATGAGATGGCATCCTGCTTTATGGCTCATGGAAACCCCGGTGGTCACTGAGAGCCCATCTCATTGTCCCAACAACACTGAGAAGCAGGCACTATTGTCACCTCTTTTTACAGATGGGGAGACTGAGACTCGGAAGAGTGAAGTAACTTGTCCAAGGTCACAAAGCTGGTAAGTAGGAGAGCCAGAGGCTGGAGCAGGTGATCTGACTCGGCACTGGGCTCCCAGCCTCTTTGCATCCTGGCCCTCTGGAGAGTAAGACTGTGCTCCAGGAAGTGCCAGCTCCCCTGCCCCTGGGTACCCAGGACTGCTGTGGGGACCAGGGACCAAAAATGCTGTCGGGACCAAAAATGCCCACATTCAGCAACCCAGGGGGAGGAGCCAGGGCTTCTCTGGGTTGACTGCCCACTTTGGACAAGAGCCAGTGTGTACCTCCCTAGGCAAAGGCTGGGCCTGCAGCTGACCCTTGCTAGGGCAGCAGAGCCAGAGAATGACCCAAACCACAGGGAGATGGGAACCAGGGTTCCAAAATCTGCATCTAAGAGGCTAAATCTTCCCCTGCCCGTGTGTGTTGGGCCAGGGAGATAACCAAACTAGTGTGCGCTAGTGAGAAGGTTGCCAACCTCTGACTAGTGCTCTGGATGGCTGTGCAAGTTTCTCAGTGCACAAGTTACCTGGGTTAGGAGCAACTGGGGACTGAAATCCAGCCTGTCCCCCAGTTGCCAGAGGAAGGGGTGCTTTTTCCTCTGATTTGCACAGAGGTGACCTGGGGGCTAGCAGTCATCAGGTATCCTGATACTGCAATACATAATGATAAATTAGGGGTTCAGGCAAGGCCCCAACAAGCAGGGTCAGCCCATCAGGGCCATTCTTATCCAGTCCTCTGTCTGAGAGGGAGAGAAAGATTCTCCTAGCTCTCTACCTGCAGAGCACAGGGGATCTGCTGGGGGCATGCAGGCTGGTCAGCCATCCCCACTGATCGGACATAGGGAGCCAACTAATGCTGGAGGGTCAGGCATCTGGCATGAGACCCCAGGGGCAGCAGGGTTGAGAGTTAGGCTGGACACCCACCCTGGTGATAAAAACATGTGTATATTCCCTAAACTGGAGCCAAAACTCCCTCCATTTAATCACTGTGACAATGACTACAGAAGTCTGTAGTCATGTGCCCCCCAGAACTGGGGGCACTTGGGACGCCTTGTGTGCCCCACTTGATAGCCTCTCAGTCTGCTCTTTCCTGTAGCCGTTGCCATGGCAGCCAGCTTCCTGCAGGTGAGACCGGCAGCCCTGACCTCAGCCACTCTGTGGAGCTCTTCAAGGGAGTCTGGGAGGACCAGGCAGGGGTCACCTACAGGACCTACTGGTACTCACAAACGTGCAACCTGGAGAGGCCAGGAACCTACACCAAGGGGCATCTCTGGACCAATGAACGGGAAGGCAGGAGTCAGTGAGGAGAGGTTTCTGTCCTGCCTCCCATCCAAGAGATAAATTGTCCCTTGGGTAGACAGTTTGGAGCAGTGTTCTACAGGGCTCCTTGGTCACTTTCAGTAGATCAACCCCAGTTGTCCACAGAGGTGACCAGTCGACATCACAGCCCTAAGTTGGCTTGCCCTCTTGACCTGTTTCAATCTTGCCAATGTCTCACCTGCTTCTGGGATCTTCCCAAAATAAACTATCTGCATGAAACCCTTGTCTGAGGCTTCTGGAGAGTGCCTGGCTTAGATAGAGGGAAAAAGGGAAGAATGTCTCTTCTTGCTGCTCCTGTCCCTGCCCGTTCCTGGAAGGCAGGTATGATGACTATAATGGTCACAGAGTCATTTTCTATGGGCCAGGCACAGTGTAAAGCCCTTTTATTATTTCGTGTCTTCTTCTCAAAGTCCTGTGCAGTATAGGCTGCTGTTAACTTCATTTTGCAAAGAAACTGAGGTTCAGATAGGTCAAGTAAGTTGGCTAAGCCAGCTCTGACTCCAAATCCTTCCCCTTGACCATCCCCCCCTTTGCCTCCAGGTGAGCACCAAGTTGGCGCTATGGCAGGGCTGGAAGCCTGCACCCTGACCAAAGTTGCCCTGATCATCCTGCTGCTGCCCGGAAGTGAGTGTGGTAGGGAGGTAGGGGGTGGACAACGAGGCGGGAGGATTATAGGAGCTATAGGTAGGGTAGCTGTGCACCCACCTGCAGGCCTCACCCACCAAGAGGAATGGTGAGAGGGCCTGGGGGGTCAGCCCAGGAAAGGTGGGGGTCCTACAGGTCTTATCTATACATCTCTGCCAGGCTGTCAGACAAAACCTCTGGGTCTGTGCAGCTTTTGTAAGCAGCAAGGGGATCCAGGAGGAGCCACAGGAGACAGGTTTCATCCTAAAATGAGAAAGCCCAGGGAGAGTCCTCCAACCCCAGAAGCTCTGTCTTGAGAGGTAAAGAGCTTCCCATCTCTGAGGGTATGCAAGCTGAGGCCAGGATTGACAGGGGTCAGCAAACTTTGAGAGTAATATTTAGACTTTTCAGGCCATGTATAGTCTCTGACATTCTTATGTGGCTTTTATTTTATTTGTTTTTATCCATTTAAAAATATAAAAAGGTTTCTTAGCCAGCAGGCCATACAAAAATAGCTCAGGTGGTGTCAGGTAGTGTTTTGAAGTACACAACTTCGTAGAGTCCCTTCCAGCCTGAAATCTGAGTCTGTGGAACAGTTAAAGCCCCACATTGAGAATCGTGAACTTGCTCTGTCACCCTGGGCAAACAGCTCCTCCTCTCAAGGCCTCAGCATCCCCATCAGCAAAATGGGCCTCAGAACACCTGAGAGAGGAGAGAGGCATCGTGGGCCAGGTGTGTGTTCACTCCTGATTCAAGTAATAGTCCCCACAGGCCTACTCTATGCCCAGAATGTAGCAATAAGCAAAATGGTCAAGATCTCTGGCCTCACAGAACTTGAGAGTCTAAGTGGGTGGGCACAGTGGCTCATGCCTGTAATCCCAGCAGCTCGGGAACCTGAGGCAGGAGGATCTTGAGTTTAAAGCCAACCTCAGCAACTCAGCAAGGACCTAAGCAACTTAGTGAGACCTTATCTTTAATTAAAATATAAAAAAGGGCTGGGAATGTAGCTCAGTGGTTTAGCACTCCTGGGTTTAATCCCCAGTACAAAAAAAATTTATATAATTTATATATATATATATATACCCCCCACACGTGGCTGCAGCCGAGATGATGGTCTGAGTTGGAATGGAGCAAATGAGGCAGGAGTTCAGGTCACAGGGCTGGGAGAAGGATCCAGGTCTTTATCCTAACACTATCAGCAAGCACCTACATACATGCCAGGTACTGGCATGAGACCCCAGGGGCAGCAGGGTTGAGGGTTAGGCTGTGCCCAGGTGCCTTACGTGTGTTACCACATCTGTTTCTTCCAGTGACACTAAGGTAGGGACCATTTTTATCACCCTTTTATGGTCGTGAAAGGTGAGGCACAGAAAAATCTCAGTGATACACATAAGAGTCCCATCATTAGCAAGCAACAGATCCCGGATCTGAACCTGAGCGGTCTTGTTCCAACGTCCAGGCTCTGCCCCGCCACGCCATGCTGTCTTCCACACTGGTGTGCCTTTCGAGGGCTGTGACAGAGGAGGGCTCACACAATCAGATTTGTCTCTTGAGGAGACTGTGGTGGCTGCAGGGTTCTTATCGCTTTAAACATTGTTTTCATCACACTCGGGGAGGGGACTCTGGTGGAGAGCTGGGCTGGCTTGCAAGGACTGATTGTGCACGCCTCTTCCCTGCTCTGAATTCAGGGAGGACACAGTGGTGGTCTGACATCAGTCGTGATGAGAGCATTCACACCATGGGAAGCAGCACGTGCTACAAATCAGGGTCTATAGAGCCGCTGACCATCACTGACCAGCACCACTGTTAGCCTCACGCAGTGCCCATACCCATCCGGCCTCTAGGTCCCATGTCTTAAGGGACAAGGCAGGGAGATGAGAGCCCTGAACCCAGGTGTGCCCAAGGCTAGACCCAGCGCAGGTCTGCCAGGCAGAGGAGTCCTTCATGGCCCGCTCTCTTCCACCCAGGCTGGGAGGAGTGTGGGCACATCAGCCTCTCGGCCCCCATTGTCCACCTGGGGGACCCCATCACAGCCTCCTGCATTATCAGCCAGAACTGCAGCTTCCTGGACCCGGAACCACAGATTCTCTGGAAATTGGGAGCAGAGCAGCAGCCTGGGGGGAGGCAGCAGCGCCTGCCTGATGGAACCCAGAAGTCCACCATCACCCTGGCCCACCTCAACCACAGTCAGGCCTTCCTCTCCTGCTGCCTGCGCTGGGGCAACAGCCTGCAAGTCCTGGACCAAGCTGAGCTGCGGGCAGGCTGTAAGTCCTGCAGCCATCTGGCTGCTCTCCTCCAGTGCTCTCCTGCCAGCCCCACTAGGAGCTCTTGCTGGATAAGCACTCCATGGGTCTGATCCCAGGGAACTGTCCCTGTCAGGGGTAATACCATTTCGTCCCATTTTGCAGATAAGGAAATTGATATCTGGGAAGAATAAGTGATTTGCCAAAGGTCACACACTAATAAGGTTGGAACAAGATTTATATCAGGCAGTGTGGCACTCAAGCAGGGTGGCAACCGCTACCTCTCTGTGTGGCTGCTGAATAAGCCTCAGACCTAGGAGGCGGGTCCAAAGAGGGCAGCCTCACCCACTAGGCTTGTGCCCAGCTTCTCCCCCATCCAAGTCTCAGCCTTCTTTCCAAATTGAGCAGGATGGAGTCAAGCTGAGGCATAAGGAGAAAACAAGGACCAAGGTTCTTATTTAAGAATCAGTAATAGCAGCTGGGCACAGTGGCTCACGTCTATAATCCCAGAGGCTTGGGAGGCTGAGGATAGAGGAATAGAGAGAGTTCAAGGCCAGTTCAGGGCCTTAGCAACTTAGCAAGGCCCTAAGTAACTTAGCAAGACCTTGTCTCAAAATAAAAATTGAAAATTGAGGGCTGGGGTTGTGACTCAGTAATGGAACACTTGCCTAGAAGGCATGAGGCCCTGAGTTCAATCTTTTTTAAATATATTTTTAGTTGTCAATGGCTTTATTTATGTATTTATATGTGGTGCTGAGAACTGAACCCAGTTCCTCATACGTGCGAGGCAAGGGGATGTGGCTCAGTGGCTAAGTGCCCCTGGGTTCAATCCCTGGTACCAAAAAAAAAAAGAATCAGTAATATCAAGTAACAGGTATGTAGGTATATAGCACTTGCTACGTGCAGGACTGTTCTGAGTACTTCATGTATGGAAGGCATTCAGTCATCACGATAACCAACAGCCCAGCTTTATGGATAAGGAAACGGAGGCCCAGGGCAGCTAAGTAACATCAAGATCACGTGCTAACGAATGGCAGCGCCAGAATGAAACCCAGATGCTTCACGGCCACAGGAAAGGGGCCTGGGGGTGGGGGAGGGTTAGGACCACAGGCTGGTGGGGTTTGGGATGCTTCCCCTGTATATGCCTGCAACTGGCTTCCCCCAGAGATGCCCCTCTGTGGTCACACTGCAGTGGAGACTGGGGAATGGACAAGGTGACCCCAGAGGGACTCACCCAGGCAAGAAACAAAGCAAGCAGAAGCTTTCTGAGTGGTCCCACCCAAAGCCCTCCATTCTTCCCAGACCCTCCTGCCGTACCCTCCAACCTATCCTGCTTCATGAACCTCACGACCAACAGTCTCACCTGCCAGTGGGAGCCAGGACCCGACACCCACCTGCCCACCAACTTCACCCTAAAGAGCTTCAAGTGAGCAGGGGCCCTGGCCCAGCCCCCTTCCTCTGATCCTGGGTGGAGCCTGAGTGGGGCCATGGGGCTGGAGGTCCGGAGGCAGAGGTGGGAGGAGCAGGGGTCATCGTCTCCCTTCTCTGCTTGGCACCCAAGCCTGGCCTGTTGGCAGGAGCCGGAGCAACTGTCAGACCCAGGAGGACTCCATCCCGGACTGCGTGCCTGAGGATGGGCAGAGCTCCTGCTCCATCCCCCGCAAACACCTGCTCTTGTACCAGAATATGGTCATCCAAGTGCAGGCAGAGAATGCGCTGGGGACCAGCCTGTCCCCAAAGCTGTGCCTTGATCCCATGGATGTTGGTGGGTGATACTGGGTGCAGGGGAGGAGAGAAGTCCCCAAAATGGGCAGACCCAGAGATGCACAGAGAGAGAAACACAGACCTGGGGACAGACAAGGAGACCCCAGAAGACCCAGATAGACAGGCAGAAAAGAGGGACCACAAGGGTACAGCTGGAGACAGGCATGAGGACACAGACCAAGAAACACATTCATCCTTTCTTTCTCTCAGCTAATTTCTTGAAGTGCCTACTGTGTGCTAGGCATTGTTTGAGGTCCTAGGGATACAGCAGTGAATAAAACATCAAAAATTTCACCCTCAGAATGTTACATTCTGGTGGGCCAAATAAATAAAACAGAAGGTCAGATGACCAAGAAGGTGACAAGTAGATCCTTAGAGGAACCAAGGGAGCAAGCCACTGCATAATTTGAGAGGAAAGTATTCCAAGCGGAAGTGACAATCAGTGCAAAGGCCCTGGGACAGGAGTATGAAACCACAGAAAAGTAACGTGGACAGAGTGAAAAGACAGAAAGAAACAGAGACCACATGGATGGAGACCCAGGGAGGAAAATGGAACCATGGACAGGGAGACAGGGAGAGCTAAGGCAGAGCTCTCTAGGGTGAGGCAGGGAGAGGTCTGAGAACCCCACTCCTTGCAGTGAAACTGGAGCCCCCTACACTGTGGGCCGTGGCCCCACGTCAGCCAGGCTGCCTGTGGCTACACTGGGAGCCATGGAAGCCGAGCCTGTTCATGGACCAGAAGTGTGAGCTGCGCCTCCGGCCACAGCGTGGAGAGGCCAACTGGACTCAGGTGAGGCCGGGGCACCCTCAGGGGCTGCAGGGGGCTGAAGGGAGGATCCAGAGACCCAGGCTCAGACTCCCACACCCCCAGGTGGCCACGCTGCCCTCAAGCATCCTCCAGCATGAGCTCTGTGGGCTCCCTCCAGCCACAGCCTACGCCCTGCAGGTGCGCTGCATCCGCTCTCACCTGCCCGGCCACTGGAGCCGCTGGAGCCCCAGCCTGGAGCTGAGAACGGATGAGCC